GTTTTCCACAATTGAGAGCGGATAAGTAGTGTCCTCCCAAGGTAAGAGGTTCCCTTGTTTGAGTAACATATTACCGTCTTCCATCCATTTCATGGGGTCGTTTCCACAGACCTCGGATTTAGGAGATTAGTCTTCGTCGGGCATCCGCATACTCGCCTAGGGAACCCTCGTACCACATTTGTTGGTTCGCATCGCTGCTCTTCGGCCGCCTTCCCGTTCCCACACTGACGAAGACGCCAATTTCCCGGCCTGGCCACTCATTAACAAGGGCCTCCTCCAAAGCTTCCGGGGCTGGGTTGAATGGGCCGGCACCGTCATCGTGGAAGACGGATTGCCCGATCTGAATAGGCTTGAAGGCGAGGCCAATAGCGCACGTGGCCCTGCCAGCTTCCCATATTTTGCAATCGAACTCCGGTGGTGGCTCTCTTCTCGAGTCGTAGGACCGAAGGACCATGGGGGCGCTGCTCTTGCCAGCGCCTTTGTACATGGTCAGAACAGCACTGCAATGGTGTTAGCCGGTGCTGAACTCATGGCCTGACAATAGGTTGGGGAGGGTACTCACGTCTTGGTTCTTGTCTCTCTGGAGTCGTAAAGCCTCGCGTTCGGGTTCCCCCAACGGGAGTTCAAGACAGGGCGTGCCATCTGGGCCTGAGGACTCCGCGCACTGAAACTGACAACGCTGGCATTACTGGAATGACGTCGAGGACCGGAAGCCGTAGTGAGGGGGCTGACTGCGTCGGCCTGGGTGCCGTCATTGCCTTCCCTTTCGTATATGGTATGTTCTCGAACTGCTTCCTTGATTGCAGTTTCTAGACGAGAAGCCTTGAATAAGGTCGAACGGTATGGTATGCCGGCAATGGTTTTGTCCGTCTCGAACACCATCCTTGTCATGCGAACATAGAGTTCCTTGCAGGTTTCGAGGTCGAGACGTAAACGCCCGAGCATCAAGGCGATGAGGCCGCCGGTGCCGGTACCAACGATGAGGTCGAAGTGGTCGCATGGCTTGGGGATCTGGTTTCGCCGAGGCGCATGCCCTTCGATTTCGACGTAGGTACGGTGCATAAGCTCCTGCACAATGATGAGCATCGAATAGCCACGGACGCCTCCTCCATCTGTCACGAGGCAATTGCCGTCAGCCAGTGTAAGGTGAAAAAGGTATATAGCAGCTAGTAGTGAGATCATGACAACAGTCTGCCTGAGCATTCTGCCACTTACCAAGTGACAGGATCCGAAGAGGAGGGCCCTTTGTGGTATCTTTTCGCCTGACCGCGACGGAATCCATTTTACGGAAAAGTAGAGAAAAATGTGGCCGTTTGAGGATGCAGAAAGAAGTGAGCTGTCGCACTTGCAATCGGAGGCGCAGGCGCAGGCGCAGTCACAGTCGCAGTTGCAAACGCAGATGGAGTCGCGGGCACCTCGATCGTTGATGCTATCGTCGTAATCACACTCGACAGGCGGGCCCCCTCCCCCCAGTGTTGATCGAGTGACGCGGGCACAGGCTTTCCGGGGGAGCAACGCGGGTTTGTTGGGTCACGAGTGACGCAAGGTAAGCTGGGCAAAAGTTGTCGTTGCGACGTTGGAGCAGATGCGCTACTTGGGGTTTGCGAACTGAGTACCTAATCGGGCGACTCGGGTTGCAGGTACTTCGGTCGGTGCTGTCTCGCGCACGTCGTAATGTGTTGGATGGCAAGCCCTTGAGGTTGTTTCTGCAGAGCGAAGAATTTCAGCCCTGTGATGGGGAAGAGGAAAAGAATACTGATTTGGTGGGAAGGCTGGCATCAGCTTACCTTAACGGAAGGAACGCCAATACGGATACGGGGGCGCTCGAATCCCATGTCCCATATCATGTCATCGTCGGTTTCTGGCAGGCGTACCTGAACGATACAGGCCAACATTAGCCACAGCGATGATGTACCTCCTTGGCGCGGCGCAGCTGGATGCTGACAGGGCAAGAACCGGACAGCAACGGGCACGAGCTGGCGGGTCCCCAGAGCACGAGGGGCAACAGCAGCGGGGTACAGTTGACCTCAGTGTGGCTGTGTTTCCCTTGGCAAACCAGGCCCATGTATGACAGAAAGAGGTCAATGGCTCGAAAAGACGCCTGCCTCCCTCATTTGCCTCGCCGTCACACGCTGAAGGAGCGATGACTGGTTACGGGCTCTTGGCCTGCTGAACCCTGCAGCCCTGCAAAAAGGCGAGAAGAAGCGCAACGAACAAGAAGCGCGGTAGCAGAAGAGAGGCAACGGAAGGGGGTGGCAGGGAGGCAGCCGAGATGTCCTTCTTCTCGGGCGTCCGTCCTCTTCTGTCGGGCCGCCACGAGACTGGCTGGCAAATGCATTGTCATCGATCGCTGACTGATGACCCGGCGAGGAAAGCCTTGGGGCACGAGGTGCGACTGAGAGACAAGTAGAGAGGTGCGAAGACAAACTTGGGCACCAATATTCACATGCATGAGCAGCCAAAGCGAAACACCGTGGGAGCGGTGAAGCTCCTGGCCTACACCTTATTTACGTGGCCGCACATGGCATGACCTCGCTCGACGTATCGCCTGTCTTCGACTGCGAAGTCCTCGATTGAGGACCTTCCCACCTGAGGCACCTTAAAGTACGTAGGTAGGTGGTCAACTCTATTGGCCATCTCCCTTCCTTCCTGCCGTACCTGGGTGCCGAGGTGGTTGTACAGCCAGGTGCCTTGTGTGCAGCCTGTGTAAGGTACCTTATGCCAGTCAATCGAGTGATGGTTGCTGTCGCTGCGGAATGATCACTTCGTCTGCTAAAGAAGATTCCTGATTGAAGCCGGACCAGTCTCATGTCGAGTGCAACTGCAACACTTATGCAAAATGTGCCGGCAGGCGGTAGACCATATGGCCTGCGTAGGGTAGGTATTCCTGAA